ACTCATTCTAATACTCAGAAACAGGAGGGTTTAGCATCCACAAAAAATCTACACAAAAGTAGCTAGAATATAATATAGACTTTACGTGAACAAAGGACAAAATAGAATACAGAAATACTAAATACAGAAAGACACAATCCTCAGTATTCGCACAGACGCGAGCATGCACACAGCCAAAGCAAACCAATCCCCTTTAGACATGCTGCTGGCACTGTCAAACCTTTTCAGCTTTGCACTGTATTAGGACAGATACTAAGAAAGAAACATTCATGGAATTATTATTTTCCTTGAAATATGTTTTATTTTCCCTGGTATTTAATAACATGTATTAATAGGAGGGAGGAACACATGTATTTAGAACTAAAGTGTTTAATAAGCTTACACAAACTTCCAGGAATTGAAACCTACTAGCAATAGTCAGCAACATACTGGCTATAACAAGGCTCAAAATTTCTTGCAACATACTCATATCTTTCTGGTCTTTCTTATACCTCCGACAGTAAGAATACCTTCCATGTTTACATGCAACTTATTACTTTTAGTAACCTTGCCAGTCCAGAAGTAAAAACAAACAAAAGCAACATGCATTTACCAAAATCTTCTATTTTTTCATAAAAAGATGTTTCAGAATAAAATTTAGGTTAAAGCAGTTCAAATGCTGTGCTGTTCAAAAACACTCATCATTTGCAAAAATAAGTCTCCCATATTTTGTTAAGGGAATTGGTGGAGAGGAAGGACAAGGTTAACAGAGACAAACTAAAGTGTCTTTAATCATCTCCGTTCCCAGTGATATGTTAAACCCTATGCCCCTATGTTTTATTTGCACATAGTAATTGCAATTATGATTGCTAAAAAACCCTCATAATTTATGAGTACAGTATTGTAAAATACAATTTCTTTTTTTAAGTAGTTAGGTTCCAGTATATTTCCCATCATTTTTTGTTATGGACATTTTCTGTTTCTTGGAATGGGCTAAATAAATTGAGATTTTTAGACTGGATTGACGTAAACAGTTAAGATTTAAGTTTGTTTGTTTTTAAAGCTTTGTTTCTATTCTTACTCTATTCTTACTTTATTTTGTGAAGACAGTTTCCCAGTTCACAAGTTGCTAACAACTTGTCTTATACGTTTAACACTTGAGAGTCCAGAGGAGGGCTACAAAGATGATGAGGGGACTGGAGCATCTCTCCTGTGAAGAAAGGCTGAGGGAGCTGGGCCTGTTCAGCCTGGAGAAGAGAAGATTGAGAGGCGATCTCATCAATGCAGACAAGCATCTGAAGGGAGGGTGTTGAGAGGATGGGGCCAGATCTCTTCTCCATGGTGCCCAGTGACAGGACAAGAGGCAATGTTCCATCTGAACCTGAGGAAAAACTTCTTTCCTGTGAGGGTGAGTGAGCACTGGGAGAGGTTGCCCAGAGAGGCTGTGGAGTCTCCTTCCCTGGAAATATTCAAAACGTGCCTGGAGGCAATCCTGGACAATGTGCTCTAGAAGACCGTGCTTGAGCAGGGAGGTTGGACTAGCTGCTTCTCCAGAGGTCCCTTCCAACCTCAACCATTCTGTGATTCTGTGATTCTGTGTAACACTTCACTGACCAAATATGAAGGATCTTTGGCAAAAAGTTATTTTTGTCATTATTTTTGCTACAATATTCCAATATTCCAAGAAGCAAAGCAAACAACAAAAACAAACAGAGGAATGGGAATTCCTAAGCTTTACCTAAGCAAAGAAAAATTCCATCATCAGAAGTGCATCATTTTATAGAAGCAAGCCACCCTACTCTAAACACCAGCACCTGAACATGCCACAACAAAGCTGGGGATAGAAGGGAGCATACTGAGAATAAGGGAGGATCTTGATGGTACAGGGTCACATGAAGTACCTAAGGCAGTACCAGTACTTCCCATCAGCAGAAACAACAAGTAGTTAGTAGGCATAAATATTACACAATAAACCTCTCTATTGCATTATTTTGAAAATAGAACCAAAAAAAGATTGTATATTTACTTTCAATTAAAAAAAGAAGAAAAAAAATACTGAAAATATATAAAGAAACTTACGCATGCTTATTCTGCTTTACAAAGTGAGGCTGCAAGAAACCACCCAATTATATGAAGTTATGTAATACCTGGGTAGCTCTGATTACTGCAACAGTATAGCCAAGTTAACTCTACCTTGCTGAAAGTGATGATGTGCTGTGATGCTCCATGTGCACCTCAAGGAATCTTTATGTTCTTTCCAATTTCTGTACTTGTGTATGCAAATAAATATGGGCAGCGCTGAAGAATGAAAGCAAACATATATTCCTCATGCTAATGTCATCTTTCAGCATCCTTCAGACACCTTTATCTAACCACTGGTCATCTCTTCTATGGACTAAATTGAATAGTTCAGGCCAGCTCATGGGCTAAAGTAAATTATAGAAACGCTGATTACAAAAGTTACGCCATAAAAATTTACAATAACCTAGTAAAGCAATTGGAGTGACCAAATCACAAAATCACAAAATCACAGAATCACAGAATCACAGAATCACAGAATCGTTTAGGTTGGAAGGGACCTCTGGAGATCATCTAGTCCAACCCCCCCCTGCTCAGGCACGGTCTTCTAGAGCATATTGCCCAGGATCACATCCAGACGCGTTTTGAATATCTCCAGGGAAGGAGACTCTACTACCTCTCTGGGCAACCCCTTCCAGTGCTCTGTCTCCCTCACAGTGAAGAAGTTTTTCCTCAGGTTCAGACGGAACTTCCTGTGGTTCAGTTTCTGCCCGGTTGCCTCTTGTCCTGTTGCTGGGCACCACGGAGAAGAGATTGGCCCCATCCTCTTGACACTCCCCCTTCAGATATTTGTACACGTTGATGAGATCGCCTCTCAGTCTTCTCTTCTCCAGGCTGAACAGGCCCAGCTCCCTCAGCCTTTCTTCACAGGAGAG